CCGGGCCCCGGGCCCCGCCCGGTGCCTCCAGGCCCTCGGCAAAGCCCCGGCTCGATGGCGCCGTTTGCCCTTTCTCATGGGCGCTGTGTTCCCGGCGGGGGCAGGGGCGGATGAGCAGAGACTTGCTCTGTCCCCGCTTTGTGCCCACCCCGTGCCCGGGCCGGGCCCCGCCAGCACATCGCAGACCCATGGTGTGGTTCCGAGCAACCGAGGGACAATTCGTCTCTTCTTGCAATCGGGCGAATTCTGAACCTCCGAGCGGTTGGTGAAGTGGGAAAGGCCCAAGAGCGATGCTGGAAGGTCTCCGCTGCGCGGCAGCTCAGCATGAGCTCGCTCATGCTAAAGGTGGAGCAGGAGGACACCAACATTTGGCCTCCTTCAGTCCCACCTTCTGAAATACCAAACACGCTCAGTAAGAAAGCGCTTTAATAGCAACAGGTTTGTACGGAGCAGCGGCCACGCACCATTGCTGCCGGATGCTGATAGCACAGCAATAGCAACTGTTTTCTCCGCGGTACGAAAGGTGCAGTTAAGGCTGTCAGCTGCTGTTGGTGCTGAGAGAAGGGGAAGAGAGGCCTTGTGTGGTTCAGTGAGAGGAGGAGCTCTGTGCGAGGGGCCCGTCGGTGGGGAGAGGTGGGGGTGTTGGTGAGAGATGCACATCAGTGGCAGTTGGGGGGTGGCACCTGAGGTGATGCCAGGGGCGCTTGGAGGGAGAGACCTTTGGGACAGGAAAACTAACTTTGGAAGTCTGGGCCCTGGGAAGGGAAGTCAGCCTGTGAGCAGCTTACCTGTGGTTGTAAAACACTGCTCTGCGTGTTCTTTCCTCAGCGTTGGGCCGCCCGTGGAAGATCCGGACAAGGCTCAGGCAAAAAAGCCCAAATCAGGTATTGCACATGGCAGAAGTATGTAATAGGCCTGATTTTTCTCAGGTTTCATGGAGCTTAGAAAACTCTGCCTCTTGTCCTTCAGCGTGGCCAGTGAAACTGTGGCTTTTCGAGCTGTTCTTTCGCTGTGGGCATCAGCGTAGCCAGCGGCTCGAGGGGGTATCACAGGGCCTAGCCCTGTAGATGGTGTTACCTGCGTAGACTGTGGCAGGGCACACCGCTTTTACTGCCAGCAGGATGTATTAGAAGAAGAATTTAATGGGGAAAAACCTGAGGTGATTGCCCCTTTGAGACAAGCGTTGGGGCCAGATGGACCAGCCCTAGTAAAAGCCCGCTTTCCTTCAGTGGAACTAGAGATCCGGAAGGAGGTAGCTAAGGGCTACAGGGATGATCCACTACAAGTGCCAAAAAGATTTGAATTTATAATTAAGAACCAAAATCCAGACTGGGAAGATGTGGATTTGCTACTAGGGGAAATGACAGAAACTAGGAGGCAGCTGGTCTTAAATACAGCCCAGGTACAGGTACGAGCACAAATAACTAGTGGGGTTCTTCAAGGCACTGCTGTGGAACAAGAGGTTCCTATGGACAATCCCCACTGGAATCCTAATATTCCCCAGCACTATGAAAGGCTCTGGAAGAATAGGGAATGAGTGAGACTTAGTATCGAACGTGCTATCCCAAAATCAATTAATTATTCCCTTTTATATGAAATTAAACAGGGACCCCGGGAAACTCCCACTGAAGTTTTAGATCAGCTCCAAATTGCCATGAGAAAGTATACTAGCATGGACCCCTCTTCAAACGATGGGAGAGGGCAGCTGGTCACTCTGGTTTTAGGACGACCGGCCACGGATATTAGAAGAAAGTTGCAGAAAGTGAAGGAACCGCATATAAGGGATCTTGAGAAATTACTGGAAGAAGCATGGAGAGTGTTCAGAAATAGAGAAGAGGTGGATAGAGAAAAGTTGTCTAAGACTGTAGCTGTTGCAGTTGTGGCAGCCCTCCGTCAAAGGGGTGGACCTGGTCGGGGAACTGAGGTAGAGGAATTGGCCATGGAAGTCGGGGAGGGTTTAGAGGTAAGTTAGGCATGAATCAGTGTGCATGCTGTAGAAAGGAGGAACACTGGAAAAATGAGCGTCCACAGAAGCCAGGGAAAGAACAAGCAGCCATAGCCTCCATGAATCAGGATTGACGGGGACCTGGGACGTCTACACTAGTGGATCCACTGGTTAAAATAAAGCTAGGGACAAAAGAAGAGGAGATGGAATTTTTGGTAGATATGGGTGCAACTTTTTCGGTTTTACATCAAGAATTGGTACCTATAAGTGAGGATTTTGTTAATGTAATAGGAGCAACTGGCCAACAGGAGAAGGCATTTTTTTGTGAACCTCTTAAGTTCAAATTGGAATACACAGATTTTTATATGTTACAAATTCTCCCAAATTGTTGCTAGGACGGGACTTACTGGAACAGTTAGAGGCAAGGATTGAATTTAGACAAGGAAACATGGAATTAAAAATAAAAGAGGAACAGCTGATTGAAATTTTAAGCTTGACTAAGATAGCTCTTGTTAAAACTTTTGAAGTAACACCTGAATTTGAAGAAATTATTAATCAGGTATATCCAGGAGCATGGGCTTCAGGAATTCCAGGAAAAGCAAAAAATGCCACCCAAATAGTACTTGAACTTAAGGAGGGAGCAACTCCTGTCCATAAGAAGCAGTATCCCCTGAGATTGGAAGACCGTAAAGGAATAGAGAGCCCGATTAATAATTTCATACAACACAGACTTTTAGTGGAGTGTGTATCAGAATATAATACCCCTATTTTACCAGTTAAGAAACCTGATGGAACCTACCGAGTAGTTCAAGATCTTAGGGCCATAAATAATGTTGTCAAAGATCTACACCCAGTAGTGGCAAACCCTTAGACACTGCTTACAAAGCTCGGAGAAAACCAAATTTGGTTTACAGTGTTAGACCTGAAGGATGGTTTCTTCTGCCTGCCATTAGCCAAAGAGAGTCAAAATCTGTTTGCATTTGAGTGGGAGAGTCCCACTTCTGGGAGGAAACCCCAGCTAACCTGGACAGTGTTACCCCAAGGATTTAAGAATAGTCCAACAATTTTTGGAAATCAACTGGCCCGAGAATTGGAGGCATGGGAACTTCCGACTAAGAAGGGGAGTCTTTTGCAGTATGTAGATGACTTATTAATAGCAACCGGGACAAAACTGGCGTGTATCCAGTGGACTGTGAACCTGTTAAATTTTCTTGGAGTAAATGGATACTGAGTCTCTCAACAGAAGGCCCAGATGGTTCAACTGCAGGTAACCTACCTAGGATATGAAATCTCCGGAGGACAGCAAGAACTGGAGACTGAAGGGAAGGAAGCTATCTGCAAGACCCCACCACCTCAGACGGTAAAAGAACTCAGGACCTTTCTAGGAATGACAGGTTGGTGTCGATTGTGGATTTATAACTACGGAATTATATTAAAAGCCTCTTTACAAACTTTTGAAGAATAATGCCACCCAATTAGCGTGGACAAAAGAGGCTCAAAATGCTTTTAGCATCCTTAAAAAGGAACTTATGAGAGCTCCAGCTTTGGGGTTACTGGATATTACCAAACCCTTCTGGCTCTTTTCTCATGAGAAACAAGGTGTAGCCTTGGGAGTCCTGGCCCAGCATCTAGGACCCTGTAAGACAGCAGTGGCTTACTTCTCCAAACAATTAGACAATGTGAGCAAAGGCTGTCCAGCGTGCCTGCAAGCAGTGGCTGCTGTAATCCTTAACATTGAGGAGGCCCGGAAATTCACCTTGGGCCAGAAGATGACAGTAATGGTCTCTCACACTGTATCTGCCCTTTTGGAACTGGCTCTCCCCGTCACGGTTCCTGAAATACCAAGCTATCCTTGTGGAATCTGAGGATGTTGTGATAGAAGTCACTATTGTTGTGAACCCAGCTTCATTTCTCAGTGGCACGACTACAGAGGCATTGATTCATGACTGTTTGGAGACCATAGAGGCTGTGCGTTCTAGCAGGGCCGACTTGAAAGAGGAACCTATGGATGATGCTCAAGATTCGTGGTTCACAGACGGTAGCAGCTTCGTCCAACAAGGTACCTGTAAAGCTGGATACACAATCACCACCATCATTAAGGTAATCGAATCGGTGCCTCTACCTATTGGAACTTCAGCTCAAAAGGCAGAGATCATTGCCCTAACTAGGGCACTGGAACTGGCAGAAGGGAAGAAAATAAATATCTGGACGGACTCTAAGTATGCCTTTGGGGCTGTGCGTGCTTGTGCGGCTATCTGGAAAGAACGTGGACTTTCGACAAGCCAAGGGAAACATATTAAACATGCAGAAGAAATACTTCGTCTTTTGGAGGCGGTACAATTATCGACCAAAGTTGCCATTATGCATGGCCAAGGACACATGAAGGGTAACACTGATCCAGAGAAAGGTAATAGATTGGCTGATGTTGAGGCCAAGCAGGCAGCTGAAAGAGACCTAGGGGCTCAAGTTCTAGCTTTAATTCCGACTAACAGAAATACTGAATTAAATGAACAGGCAGTTGTTGAATATAGTAAAATAGATCAGGAATGAATATCAGAACTTGGGGTAAAGGTCCCGTCTAAGGAATGAGCACCAATGAAAGATGGAAGAATAATACTAAAGCAGGTTAAAGCAGAACATGATAAAATTCATTAGGAAGCGGATGCGCTATATAAATCCCTAAATCAAGATTGGGATGAGGGTTAGTAATGTGTTGATGTTGGTAATGATAGGTATTGCCAATGCATGGGAAGAAAATGATTTATTGTAAGCTGTCTGCAAAAGAATTTGCAGAAAGAACAAAGAAAGGGGGGAATTGTAATAAAGAATGGCTAACTAGCCTTTAGAAAACCAGCCTTTAGAAAACTAGCTTTTAGGAAAGAACTGCTGACCAGCCTTTAGAGACAGGGAGGAAGACTGATTTGTACTAACCCTTATGTATGTATCCATTGCCGACTAATTGACACTTTAAAGATAAGAATGAAGCAGAATCCACCAAGTGAAGTACACCAGGTGGAATCCTCCAGTCAGACTGCGGGGCTCAAGGAACACAAAAGACTAAGCAGGAGAGATAGGGAGGGCAGCTAGCAAGAGCTGGTTCTGTAAATTGGAAAAGACCCAGGATGGTACAGGGCATGTGCCACAGCACAAGTTCAAAAGTTGAACCATGAGGAAGACTCGGACCTTCATCCCCAACGACCACCAGGGACCCCCGATGGAGGCGGGACTATGGGAGGAACTTATGTTAATGAATTCCTAGAAATAATTAGAATAGCCCAACCTTTTCTTAGAAATGTAATGAAAACTGTAAACATAAGGCAAGAATCCTAACGCTTGGGCGTGCACGTATGGAAGGAGCTATCCCCCATGCTGGCCGGCACCGCAATAAAGAATACCTGCTTAATAACACTTAGTTGTTATTGAATTTTCCTGGATTCAAGGAGATACCCCAGGTCTCCCTGGCGGGGAGCTCATGTGTGTCATCAGAAAAGAGTATTTTAAATCAAAGCTGTGTGCTCCCTCCTGCCTGTATTCGCCATGGACCTCTGTCAGCTCCAAATACCCGTATGGCTTATGAGAAATCCCCTAGAATATGGGAGGTGAAGGAAGGTAACTTTAAAGTGATGGTGGCAAGAGAAAAATGGTATTTCTGCGAGCTGGTGGGTTTGGGGAGAAAAAAAGCTCAATGGAAACCAGAAGAGTCAGTTTAGTCTGAATCTGAAAATTTTGGCATTTTGAAAAGAGAGGGGAAGGATGAGTAAAGAAGGCTGGAGATGCAGCAGAGGCCAGGCACGGCAGAGGAGAGCGGGGTGGAGAAGTGCTCTCTTTGGTGAGGCTTTCCTTGATACCGCCTCCACAAAGCACGGACGGGTCAAATGATGGAGCAGCCTGCAGCCATGTCGGTGCCTCTGGATGCCATCTGTGTTGGTCATGATTGGAGATGGGCATTTCCCCTTTTTCACCTTTGCTGATCAAGAGGGAGCAATGGTGCTCTTTAGGCTGCGCAACATTTCCTGGCAGGAGTTGTGCAGGGAGATGTGGAGCTTCCTAGTTGCTGCTCGGCAACCGACGCTGCCCTGTATTGAATGGTAGGGGCTGCGGAACCATTAGCGCTTTTCCAGCTTAAAGGTGTGAAACAGTGGAAAATGCCCTGCTTCAGCTACCACACACTTGCATGTGATACTCAAAGTTCAAACTGTTTGCCAGAGTTCAAACTTCCTAGCCAGGCAGTTGTCATTGAAAGTTTTTTTGTACATATCACCCTGAAACAGAGAGCTATGTACATCTGATGGATATTGAAAGTTGACTTCTTGTTTTCCTGTGACTGCTTTTCTGTGCAGGTATCAGCTGTGCAGATGTTTGCAGCCCCCGATGCTCTCAGAGCAGTGATACCACCAGGTAGAGTCTGTTTTCATCACGGTTCTTGTTTCTTTTGGCTCTGTGTGCATGTCTCTCTCAGCCTCCGTAGTGTCCAGAAGAAGACAAATGACAGTTATGGTCCCAGTGCTGTGGAAGAGGAGTAGCTGGCTCATGGCTCTGGAATTGCTGGCAAGCCAGTTGCGTCTCAAATAGAGCTCCCGTGCAAGAGGTGTGCTGTGTAACAAAGAGGGTTGTGCTGGAGTGGTGTTTTCTGGGTCCTTTGCTGTGGGAAGAAAGCCAGTGAGGGTGAGAGTGGTGGCCGTACCAGGTTGTCCTGGGACTTGCAGAATCCATTTTTGCTTGTGAGTGTCTTTCTGCCAAACCACTGACGAGCCAACATTTCATTTCTTCCCCTTTGAAACCGAGCTCCTGAGCTTAAGGATTAGAGAGCTTGTAACGCCTGGTGCGGCTGAGGCAGGTTTTGTGACTCACGGGATGCCTTGGCTTTGAGTGCGAGAGCAAGAAGGAAGCAGCGTGCAGTTGGGCTGTGGGTGAATTCTGGAGAATGATGTGGGACAGCACTGACACACAGCTCACTTCTCTTTCTCTCTTCTCTCTCCTCACAGGTCCAACACCCCGGCAGCGAGCTCTCCTGTTCAGGAAAGACCAGAGACACGAGCCGTTGGAGGGGTAAACTTGTGTTATTCCTTATTTTGCTTTTTAGGAACGTACAGGTGTTTGTGGTCAGAAGTTTTTGCACACCTCACTGACATGTATTGTTGAGTAATATTTATCCTGGCTGTTTTTCCTGGGGAAAGCGGGAGCATCCTTTGACGAGCAGCACTATACAAAGGATTTCCCACTACCGTTCATTTTGTTTCTGGACAGTAGTCGCTGTACTATTTTTATTCTTCCCCTTTCATGGGTTGAGTATAGCTTCAAAATCTTCAGTGCACAGACTTGGTTGACCTGCAAAGCTGGACTGCAGCACCTTCTCTTGTTTCGTGAGATAGGGAGGACATGCCTTTGACTTTCATCTCTGGTCAGGGCTTAGATCAAAAATCGAATTTTAGTCGTGGAAATCAGAAATACTCATCTCCATTTGACCCCTATGTGTGGAGGCTTTGCTGGGGTTCCCAGTGCTAGTCCAAGCCAAAGTAGCTTTCTGCCTCTCAGGCGTCTGTTTAGTTTTGAGTGCAGCGTTCCAGCAGGCACAGCTGGAATGCAGCCCTCAGTAAGAGGAAGCAACCGTGGAGCTGGCCGTTTGGGAGTGTGTACAAAAACCCTTCCAGTTTTATACACATGCAAGACCTTCTGTGCTATCCCCTGGCAAACAAAGCCATGCTTGCTTGCTAGCTTCACATCCTTTTGTCTGACAGGGAGCTGAAACATCAGAAGAGGGCTTACGCCAGTTCCACCAGGCACTGCTTGCCCTCCACGAGCAAGAAAACAAGCCGAGAAGCTCGGAAAAAGGCCTTTCTCCACTGACAGAGGTACCAGACCTGAGAGTCTGTTAGGCAAAACAGAAGGCTGTGAAGCAGCTGCAAGGAGCTCCATTTGTGATAGGTGGTTCTTCAGGGTTTTTGAAATCTGGAGAACTTGCATTTCACCTGTTAGCGAGTGTCTGCAGCTGTGACTTCGCAGCGCAAGGGTCAGCACTAAAGCTGGTGTGAAGGACTGCTTGTGATGCACACCCTCCTTCTGTTGTGCTACCCTCAGGGTTTGTGGGGCTTCTGTGACCACGGCCCAAATGCGTCCAGGTTTAACCACAGTGTCCCAGAGCAGTACTAACCTGACCTGGGATGTCCTCAGGATCTCGTGCACTGGGCGTGGATGCAGCGCATCTAACAGTGCTCACGGGAGTTCACTTAGGG